GACCTGGAGGAGAGCATCCAGCCCTCCTTCTGGACTGTCCAAATTCCCTGACGGCTGGAAGAGGCAAGGATAAGGAGGATAAGATAAGGGGTCTAGATTTATTATAAAAATATCTTTGAAACTCACCCGCGACAAAATAGTCTTTCGTTCAAACTCGGCAAAATCACCGGTAAGAGAGAGAATGTGTTTGTAGAGGAAGGGTGGATCGCATTGGAGATCTTGATTACCAACACCATAGAGACAGGGATTAACTTGAGCCTCAGGAGTGGGTACGATGAAAGGGAAAACTGGCTTATCGACAAATGCCCCGAAACCCATTCTAAGGTCCTTTGTAACGGCAGTAAAGGAGTTGGCAATATCTTTGGTAAGTCGAGAGACCGTTTCTAAGTCGTCGCGCATAGTATAACTTTGATCGACAAGGAAGTAGATATCCACAGGATAGTCGGTTATCGATTGAAAAGTAAAATCAGTTCTTAGGCTATCGTGGGGACGAACAGACACTTTTTGGCGCACTGGCGTCAACTGTGCATCGGTGTCTTGAGAGCCAACTACAACGAAACAAATTTGAGTAAGAACAATTGAAAATGTTCTTGAGAAAATGTACATCGGAAACATACCATCAACCAGGGTTGAGTTTTGACTCTCGATTTTGTCAGCGGGACAATTTCGCTCCAACAGAACGTCACGCTCAGCACAACGATAACCTGGACCCTCTGCTGTATCGTCGTATGCATCGTCGAAACACCAAGCACAAGGGGGACCGCGACCCATACATTCCTGACAATTTCTAGCCAACTGGCATTGAGTGACTGCGAAGATGGGATGTAAGAGGCAAGTCAGAATTAGGCTCAAAAATAAGAAACTTTTGGAGTGGTCCATTTTCGACACACAACAGTTACACTTGCCACCATTCACCGGCAGAGCAACCAAACCGCCCCAGTATATACAGTGAGCTATTCGGTCGGATTCATTGACCCAATCAGCGTCAACAATTACCATCATCTTACAAAAACGTATGCCTCCTGAGAAATCTACAATCACTTATGAAAGTTTTGATTAATTTCTAATTTACTAGTGTAGAAAAAAGCGACAGTTTAGAGTTATATATTTTTTAGACCGAAAGGCCAGAGTTTAATCTTTTTTAGTTTTTACGAAGTGAAATACCCAAAAACTTAAAGCACCGGCACAAGCTGTCGGAATCTAGAGTAAATGATTTTTTATTTTACACGTTTATATGCATTAATCGGTTCCGACCGTGGGATTCCAGCATTTCAGTCGGACATGGTTGGTAAGGAGCTCGTGCGGCTTGTCAGAATTTAGATAGATGTAGAGATATTTTTTTTTACTTTCAGTCACTTGTGTGATTCGCAGTGAGGCCAGTTAAAACCATGTAGAGAAAAGTGTCCTTGAACTTCAGACTTCGAGAGAAAGTTGGTTGCAGATGGTTTGCTGGGCATTTGTTATAAGGAAGGCTGGAGGATAGGATGCAGATGAGGCAAGTAGAAGATATCAATTGCAGGAAGACTCCTCGCCCGCTTCACGCACTTGTTTTGCTTTCCCAATTGGTTCCCATCTTTCACTTATAAAAGTACACTTAAACAAACTAGCATATATTACAACAATAAAATGATAACTCCACAAGCGAGCAGATAGGAACTTTTAAGGATAATAATCTAGCACACGTGGTAACCTCGTCTCTTAGGATGAAATGCAGAGAGTTTCGGTTTCTCCCTCGATCGCTTCCGTTGTCTTAACTTAGTCGCTACCTAAATCCATACCTGATGCTTTACCTAACATTTCAAGGGTAAGATAGCAAGGGGAGTGCGATTGGACTCTAGGCCGAATTCAGGTAACGTCAGTCTATCCTTCAAGAACTAAAACAACAACAATTGTAAGGCATCACAACTCCTATGCGATTTTCTTAGCAAGGCTTTGGACTCCCAAGTTTCCTTCTCTTCCGGTACTGATCAACTTTTTGATTGGGAATGTGCAAATTCAGCTTACTTAAATGCATTCCTTTAGGTCCCACTTTAATCGCCTTTCAAAGACCTTTGGTAATGGTCAAATAAGCCAATAACAACGAGGTACTCTGTGCAACTTCCTTAAACCCTGCAAGCTGTACTTTTCTTTGTCTAACCTACTGTCATCTAGATCTCATACGTCATGCAGATATCGGGCGAAATGGTGGTCCACTTGTGCACTTTTTTGGACGATTAACGTGTACGGATCACAATTAATGCCAAAACCAGTAGAGTTTCTTGTGAATTCGAGACAGAAAACTAAATGTTGTTGAAGGCGTCAATATTGCATTATCGCAGACTCGACTGCTTTTTGGTAGGCCCGACCAGTTTGTCGTCGATGGGATCACATGATATGCGTTGGATTCTGCTAACAATTGCGCCTTGAGGTGATATTGTTAGTGATGCAAAAGTGTCGCCTGGTAACCAGGATGACCTACTGCTTCACTTAGTTTCTCCAGGGTATCAATGCACCGCACTTCAACGGCTACTTCATTTTAAATTCATCAGCGAAGCATAATTTCATAATACTTTGTAACATGACTTCGTCTAGTGGGCGCATAGGTAATAGATTTAAC